TCTCGTTGGGTTGCTGTTAGCACTGCGCACCTCGTATGCATCCCAAGTCCTCCCCCATTCACTTGGCACTGTGGCCTCCATGCGTTTTCAGATGCAGCCGTCCTTCACAAAGCTGTCAAGTGGCATCTACTCGGACCCAGACACGTGCTACTACGACTACCGGAGGTCGCGATGCTATTCCCGTTTCTCCATCTGCACTCGGATTCTCGTGAGGACCTCAGACGGTTCTACATCCAGCTGCACACTGCGTGCAATCAGGCGACTGCCAGCCACCCCACAGCTGCTCCAACGCATCCCACCACATCTCCACCACGTCCTACGCAAGGCACAGTTCGCGCGGACCAACGACGAGGAGCGCTTCTCGGCTTGTCTACGCTTCAGTCAACAGGGCTTCCACTAGTCTCCACGACGCCTTCTTCTCACCTCTCCTCCCCGTCGCCTCTCGCCACCAAAATACCTTTGAATGCTTGACCAGGATCCCATCTCCCTTTCCTTTGCCCACTTTGCTGATGCGAAAATCCCTATTCCTATGTTTTAAACTGTTAAAGCATTATATCATAAACAAAGGCTACCTGCATCTTAGCACATTCTTTATGAAAGAGTTGCTGCATATATATACTCCAAGCAAAGCCAAACAAGGCGTTTTGCTTAGAGGGCAGAACGAGGAGTACTTATTTTGAACTTAAACAATCAAAGCTGTGTTAGACGCAAGTCCTTTTCCAGATGGTGCGAATACTTGATAACTACTGCATTGTTTGTGATTTTCTTTAAGACCTTAAGAGAAAATCACGTATCAACTTCTGCTTTGTGCAGAACAGCCAGTGATTTTGCAGCTTGATTTACATTGCAGTGCGAATTGGGAATTGGTAATTTTAAAGCTCTTTGAACTTTAAGATTAATAGATGACCATTAATGCTAAAATTAATTTTTTGTAAAATGTCAGTTTTATTTTAACTACCAGAAAAAACTTGCAGCTACTTCTTTTCCCAGAAATTGCAGTGCAGTTTCCTACAAAGTGGGCACTAGCAGAAAAAAGACAAGCAGGCAGGTGCTTGACCGTTCTTTGCACGTAGGACTGGCGAAAAATCGCTGCAAAGGTTCAACCAGCAGACCCAAATTCATCATTTAAAAACTGTTTCCATTACAAGAACATGGACATTTGATTTAACTAAAATGACAATATTAAAGCAAAATTCCTTATTCCGGAGCGTCTGGTGATACAAAAAAGTTGTTTGCAATGCAAAGAGGGAGCATTAGTGGAGTATTGGACACTTCATTGAAAACTAATTCTACCCCGCATTAATATTTTTTGCAAGTCCAAACAGTTTGCCCCGGAGTTATCATCACCATCTTATAATTGCAATTTGTAATGTATATCAAATGTTAGCAAGCATTCCACAGAAAAAGGACCCTTTCATTCGCGCAAATGTTCAAATTTGGCCGTTGTAGCACCACTGGAACCGTTGAAGCATAAGTCGGTAAACACGATACTGTAGAAGTCAAGCTTAGTTCATTTGCATTACTCTATGTGTAATTTCGCGATTATCATATAGCAG